AACGTGCCCTCTGCCCTGTAGGGGCCCCTTTCCCGGGAAAAAAAAAAAAACCTGGCACGATGCAGAGTGGGCCGAGAAAGGTAAGAAATATAAAAATTCTCCTGATGGAAATCCAAAGGTTTTAAAAAAATACAGCATTTGAAAACGAAGCCACTAAGCAGACTGCCTCATGCGCCTCCCAGCTCCGCCCCGACGCCCAGAAATGCCTCCTGAATGAATCGTCCCTGTAGAAAAATATATACACGCGCCTTTCTCTTATTAAAAACCCTAAGGTTGAGCCCAAATGCTAGTGAAACCCACAGCTCTGCTCACGCTTGGCTCTGCTTTTGCACCCCGACTCGTGCTACACACACGCATCCCCCTACCATGGGCTTGATGTTCATGTGGCTGAACCACAAACCCCAGGAAAAAAAATAAGAAAAAAGAAGTCAGGGTGCACCACGCCAGGAACCCCACAACGGGCAGAGAAAAACCCTTACGGAGTTTTCCTAACAAATTCTAAAGATACGTATTGTAAAAAAACAAAACAAAACAAAACAAAAAAAAAGCAGCAATGCAAACTCAACACATCTGAACAAAAAAGCTCCTCCCTGGGCTTTCCCCCCTCCTCCTGCTGCTGGGCTCTGCGGGCAGCGGGTGCAGGCAGGTGCTGCCCATGGGCACCATCCCCATGTGCTCCATCGTTTGGCATGGCCGAGGCTCGGTTGTAGGCTTGGCACAGGAGAGCGGACCGCGGTTGGACTGGGTACCGTGGTCCCAAATGAGAAACAGTCCGGCTACGGGGGTGGGGGGGCCACCGCGGGTGGGTGCCGTCGGCACTGCGGTACAGCCGGGACCCCGAACAGCAGCAAGTATCAAAGAGGGGAAGAGAAAAACTTAACAGTGGGGATGTGAGATCCCTATTTACACTGCGCTGGACCCCGACAAGTCCGGCTTCTTGTGGGAAAAGTGGCCTGAAAAGCAGGTGACATTAAAAACCCCACAGCGTGATGCCCCTCCCCGGGCAAAAGGCCCACGCTGCTTGCTTGTGTGAGGTGGAAAAGCTGGACCACTGGGGGAAAAAATTAAGTTTGGCAGCTGGGAGAGCCGTGATGGGCAGCAACCTCCCTGCTGCCAAGGTAGAAAATGGGCCAAGAGGGATGGATGGAGAGAGGGATGGATGGAGAGAGGGATGGATGGAAGGATGGATGGAGGGATGGATGGACAGAGGGATGGACAGAGGGATGGATGGAGAGGGGGATGGATGGAGAGGGGGATGGAGAGAGTGATGGAGAGAGGGATGGATGGAGAGGGGGATGGAGAGGGGGATGGATGGAGAGGGGGATGGATGGAGAAAGGGATGAATGGAGGATGAATGGGGGCAGGGGTAGGTTGGGTGGGATTTTTGGGGAAGGAAAGTGGTGTGAGGGTTGTTTGTTTTTTTGTTGGTTTTTTCTTTTTTTTTTTTTTTGCATTTGAAAGTGCTGTGGCACCTCTGCTCCGTGTGGGCCGAGTGCTGCGGCACGTGCGTTTGGAGTATTGCTGCTTGGAGGAGAGTCCCCAGGCTCTAGGAGCATGGGAGGTGCTGCTTGAGGATCTGTCTCGTCTGGGGAGCTATTCTGTCCGGGAAGCGGATTTTGAATTCCACGATCAAATCTCCTCGCTGGCTGGGGGCCTTGGGGAAGGGCAGCCCCTCCCCGCGCAGTCTCTTCACTGTCCCCGGCTTGATGATGTCGTTGCAGGGCAGCGGGATCACCCGCCCGTCGATGGTGGGAATGTTCACGGTGCAGCCGCACAAGGCCTGGGGGGAGAAGAGGGGACACCCTGTCAGATGGGGCTGACACCCCAAGACATCCTGATGGCCACACCTCACACCCTCTCCCGCCCCCCCCGGCTGCTCCCCAGGTTAAACCGCCCAGCTCCATCCAGATGATGCCCAAGAGCATCAGTTCGTGCTCACCAGTGCAAGCCCAGGTCTCTGCTGGTGCCAGCCCAGTCTAACCACCATGATCTGGGGTGCAGGAGCCATGCAGGAGGGGGTGCCCCAGGCGAGGGGTGCTCCAGCCTCATGGGGGAAAGGACGCCTCCCCCACCTCCTGGGTTCCCAAAGGCACCACCAGCAAGCACCCAGCCTCTCGCAGCAACAGGACAGGCTAAATTTAGTCCCTTCCCGGCCTCACTGCCCAGCCTCGGGCAGCCAAAAATCCAGCTGAGATCATCGGATGCCACTGTGGTTCATCAGCTGTCACCCTCCGGAGCCCGGCAGCTCTGCCTGGCGCTGGGGGTTATCTATAGCACAGCCAAAGTCCCGTCCGCCCCCTCCAACAACAGCCCCCACAAGGTTACACCGGCGTGGGACGGCGGTGTGGCTGCAGCACAGCACCAAGCTCTCCTGGAAGCTGGGGTCCCGGTGGGGCTGGTCCCCATCGCAAA